CCGTCATACAGCCCCTCTGTCATTTGTACCAAGAATAGTCTATAGCAAAGGGTTATGCTGCTTGGTCAGATCACCACTGATGTTGTCGGTGATTACTGTATGCCTTCATGATCTGTGGGGCTTGGTACTGAGAATTTCTGGATGTATGCTAACCTCAACCATAGATTCAAGAGCACTACAGGTCCTTGAGCCAGGATTAGTCATTCAGTTCACATCTCCACCACTATTATCCACACAACCTGTAGTGTTTCCGTCTCCCACAGAAACTCAGGATTTGGAACTTAGTTCTAGGGCTATCAGAGTTTTGGTTGGTCTGGGGGAAGTGAGAGAGTTGTCCTAGTTCTTCTGAGGTTTTGTCCCTGTCGATTGTTGGGTCTCAGAAGACAGGAGATTGGTGTCTAGTCATTGATCTTTCTCATCTATCTCAATGTTTAGATTATCCAATTTTCAAAAGTTAGTCTTTCCTCAATCTGAGTTGACATTTTTTTACTGGGATTGTGGATGTCCAAGTTCAATGTAGTCAGCTCCTATACACACATTGCCATAGTGGTGGCGTCCCACCATTATAGGCATTTTTTCGTGTACAAGGGTCAGGTACTGCAGTTCCAGGTTTTTACCCTCAGGCTCACATTAGCTTCTCCTGGGTTCTGCCTTATTGTATGAGTTTTTTCTCATCACCTCCATTCCATTACACTGTACATACACCATTCCATAGATGACTGGTTACTGCTGGCAACATCTTGTCAAGTATCAGAACATCACATCCTGATTCTACTTTTAGGAACAATCAATGCAGGCTTCATTCTCAGTGCTGAAGCATCTATTCTTGCTCCGATTCAGTATGTTATCAGTCTGGGTATTTTTTATTTCTCATCTCTTCTCTCAGTCAGGCTCAGCTGACTCAGTGCTATGGAATAGGAAGCCTGACTTTTACTCTCCTTTCCTTCTTGCACTGCACTGATGGTTCTTTCTCTGCTTAGAATGTGGTCTTTTATTGGTCTTTATGCAAACAAAGGATCATAAACATTGATTTACTGGATTCCCTAGTTTCTTTAATCAGGATTATTTGTCAATCTCGAAAGGTTGTTAAGTCGGAAAACTACTAAGATATGGGTTCCTCTACTGCAACCTCATCCAGAGTTCCATCTCTTCATGAATGCCTTTCTTCAGGAATGTGGTGCATATACCAACAGTCAGGAATTCCAGGGTCTATGCACAGAGGGCAAAGTTGGGGGCCCTCCTACCTGGGTCCCTGGATGTTTTTTCACAGATGTTGGGACGAGAGGCACCAGCCTACACGGGAGCCTACTCGTAATACTGGTTCAGACTTGACACTTAGCTGTCCTTCTTTTTGATCAATATTGGTTCTGTACATAGTTATTGGAAAGAGGTCCATTATCTCCTCGTAATTCTGGTCCCATCCTGGGTCCTTGGTAGAGCACAGTTGTTCCATGTCCTCCGCATAAGAAAGTGGAATTTACCTTGGCCACATGGTTGGGGAGTGAGGATGAGTGTTTATAATTCCAGACTGGATGAGTTCTGTTTCTTCAGGTTGAGTATAGCACACATTCCGAGTTTGGGGTGTTGCCTTTTGGACTTCTTTGGGTTGAGGAGAAGATCTGTCCACTTCTGTGTTGCTTACTTTCTCGTCATGGTTCCAGTGGGTTAGAATGCATCACTCTATGGCTACAGGTTGGGATCCATTCATAAATATATATATCTATAGTTTGCGGTCCATTTGCCTTAGCCACCAACGTGGGATATAGGGACCATGGCCCTTTAATTCCAATCCCAAATAGTGGAACCTCAGCTATCTGGTAGGGGCCTGGCCTATAGTGATGATAAATGAAGTAAAATTCCACCCACAATATAGGAATTAAGTTCCAGGTGACGAGCATACCTGTTCTGGATGTAATGCAGTTCCCCCACTAGGGTGCCAATCATCTACTGACACATCCATGATCTGTGCAGATACTTTATGTATGGATAATGCTCTCACAGACCCCTCCACCTTATCAATATGGGATTCTAGCTATGAGTGTGAGGTAAGTATGTTTTGGAAGTTAAGATTTTCTTAGAACGAAAATGTATTTCCAGTAATACTTACCCTTCTCACACTCTCCTACCCTTCTTCCCTACTAAGAGCCAGTGCTAGAGACTGGGATTGAGTCAGTCTCAAAAAAGTGATAACATTATCTGAATGAGGTGCTTATATGCAGTACCAGGATAGAGGGTGCATTGATGTAGGTGGAGAGTGTCACGAGATAAATATTGCCAAGGACAATTGAGTTGGGTATAAAAGACCGAAGGAAGCAAGAAAAAATTAGACCAATGCTTAGATGGGCGAAAGAAGAAACCCTGGCAGTCAATTAATAGCTATAAATGTGAGTATAGGTGGGTATTATTGGAAATACATTTTTGATTTAAGAAATTGTTAACTTTTATTACCAGAGTTACGTAGATGATACTTTTATTCTGTTAAATGGCACAAATCATGTTTCTCAGTTTTAGGAATATTTCAAAAGTAAAAAAAAATTATCAAATTAACTCTTGAACATCAGCAATATTATAAATTTAGAAAACATTCAGCAGTCTTTATTATAATTTTTTAAATTGTATATCAATTGTCTTTTTAGAAAATCTAGTAAAGATTTTAATTCATTGTGTTTATAAAACATCAAGCATATGTGAAATTTTCATAAATAGTTGTGCAAAATCAAAAAGTTTTTATGAAAAAATTATTCTACTATTTATCTGATTGATAAAATAGCTTATAATTATTTGAATAACCAAAACTCTGGTAAGCTTCTGACATATAAATTACCCAAATATTCAGTTTACATAATCTTGCCATATATATTGGTAAATATTCTTTGGCTGTTTAAAAACAACTATGCACCCTACTTTGTAGGGTGTATCTGCATATACAGATGCAATGCATTTTTAGACCTGGACTTTTCTGCACTATTTCTTCAGATATAAAGCTCATATATCTTCATTGAAAACATCAGATGTCGTTTATCTGTTTTTGTGTCCTTATTGCAAGTAGTGTTACATCAGTTCCATGACATAAAATCTATTGACATAAATGAAAGAACGTGCAAATCTAAGAAGGCCAAGTAGATTGAGTATATTGGAGCATGTCCAAAGTGAATGTAACATAGTTGTCCATTAAAAATGTTTTAAGATCTTAACAAAGACCAATAATGAGCACAGCCTCCATGTAAGAGAGCTTACTCATTCCTAAACTGTGGCCACAAATAAACCAGGCTAGTTCATCATAAAAATTATTACCAAATTTACAACCTAAAGAAACATATATGCATAGGTTAGCTCTGTTAATAAATTCCATAGTAATTAATTTTTACAAGAGATAAGCATCAGCTCACTTGCAGTTATACCATTTATATGCTAAGTTCTCTGATAAAAACTGAAAGCACTTAATATCAGGAGTTTACTTCTACAATCTTGTAACTTGAAAACTTAATATTTCATAACTTAAAAGCTTCTAAAAGGCTTCAAAAAAGAAGGGAATCAGTAGCTTGAAGTACATATATCCAACTATGGATATTTAAATGAGCTAGGTTAGGCATAATTTTATGTTAGCATGCCAGAACTGTGAACCCGAGGATGTATCATTTGAGAAACATTGCCATAATAAAATTCTGCACACTGGGCCCATGAATGCAATACAAGGTGGATGGCACATTCCATCATACAAAAATAGGCCAAGAGTTGGCAGTGGGTGCTGTTGACTAGTTCTGCCAGTTCAAAATTAGAGGCAACTATGTATGAATAGCCCTTGTGAATCTTTGTGCATAATTATGAATTTAACATATTTATAAAAACCACAATATCAGTGATCCATGGTGGTTTTCTGTTCTTCAGTAATATAATTTTTAGCATTTGTTTTTTGCGAAAAAAATAGAGCAAAATGAAATTTTTATTGTAGAATGTTTTAAGTCATTTTAAATAGCTTAATTGTTTTTGGACTCATTACTTTTCCAACCTCAATATTCTGAGAACACTGGTAGAGCCTTCAGATCCATCTTAACATGAATGGCTTAAAAGTTGTAGCAAGAGAAAAAAATAAACTAAAACAAAAAGTCTAAAATGTATAAAAAGCATTTATAATTTTTAGTTATTAACACCCTATAACTTCTTAATTTTTACATAAATATCTTCTGAATCAAACTACTCATTTCACTTTCAGGAACTAATTACTGCAGAAAAGCTTTCTATTTCTACTTTTGTAAAGACATCATTACCTAGACATGTTTTGGGACTACTGTTAAAACTAGAATTTCATGTGTCATAAACAAGTGCATACTATATTCTCATGGAATAACGACCTGATGTTTTTATGAGTATATATATATATATATGTGTGTGTGTGTATATATAAATATATAGAAAGTGTTGTAGCATATTTTTTTTCACTAGTCCAGTATCTTTCTGTTCCAAGTTTCTTAAAGGTTGAATTCTAAAAGCATTACATTCACATAGAGAAATTAAAAAATCATGAATCACAGTAAAGTTGTAAGAACGTAAGCTCTCTTAAACGTATGAAACATATCTCAACAATGCAGATGTGATACTGTAAACTGGTAGTTTCAATGTAAACATTAGGGCTTTATTCTCAGAAAATAAGAATTTTGTATATAATACATACATATAAACAAATATAGCACAAGAGATATTGTTAAGTGATTTTTTACACAAAAAAGAAGGTAAGCAATAATAATGACATCTTCTGGTATTTTATGTTACAGTATTCTGTTACTGCATTCGTTTTTTTGGAAAGGGTTTTATGCCTTCATTTAACAATTAGGTATATATATATATACATATATTTCTATATTTGTTGTCACCTAAAATTTATTTCCTATTTAATTTTGCAAGCTTAGATTTATCAAAGCATTTTAAAACAAACTGCTCTTTTAAGTTAGAAAAATAAGTTTTCAAGAAAATTAACATTATGTTATTAGTTTGTATTATTAATTAAGTAATTATTATTGTTTAAAAGCTTCTATGTGTAAGAGAATAATAAGAATATTATTGTTTGATATATAATGAGTATTAAATATTATTAAATTTGAAATTCGTCGCAGGTCTCACACCACCACCACCACCAAGCCTACTTGCTCCCGATGATGATGGAATATCAGCTTTTGTGTCGGACACAACAAGTAGATCTATCAGATCAACTCCACCATCAAATGGTAATGAATTAGAATGGGATGGAGAATTTAATAGGTAGGGATTAGGCTAATATCCTAGAAATTTGTGGAAATTATTGTGTACAACAAAATATTGTAATTTAATGAAGAATGTTAAAATTTTCACTACCTGAAAATGTATTTCAGATTGATACTCACCCCTCTGCACCACAAAGAACTATTACCTTGCATGCGCTGTCATGTAAGTTCCTGCACATACCACAAGCCTTGAAAATAGCTCCCTGTTTCAACATGTATTGTGCTAGCCTATGAAGTAATCATCATTAGACTATAGTCCTCCAGTAATAGGAGGACAATATGTCCTCCATCTGCAGTAATCCCCACAAGCACTATCATTTGAACATAGGCTCATTCTTGAAGGTATAATAAAGGCACCAGAATTGGGGAGGAAGGGTGTGAGGTGGTGCAGACAGATGTGTATCTGTTTGAAATACACTGCCAGGTTAGAAAAATGTTAACTTCAGGAACACTACTCACCTCTCTGCACCACAAACATTTATAATCCCACATTGAAGATGGTGGAGGGACCAGTGCAGAAAGAGAATTTCAAAAACATACATAACCCTCTGACACTACAACTATTAGTCGACTGCTAGGGCTTCTTCTTTTGCCCATCTAAGCATTGGTCTAATTTTTACTCGCTTGCTCAAATCATTTATTCCCCACTTAATTGCTCTTGGCCAAATCTGTCTTGTGACACTTTCCATTTATGTCAATGCAGCATCATTCTTCTTACTGTATATAAGCACCTTCTTCCAATAATATCACTTTTTCTCAACAAAGCATTCACTAACGGATTTCTCTGTTGTATGACTGTTAGAGATACTTTGCACATTCTTCATTTTGCCTATTTTTATTTTTGTAATAATAATAATCATAAATGTTTTTGTTTGGCAAACCGATATATGTCATGAATTTCCCGATTAATGACACGAAGACAAATCGATCTCTGCTATCTTGCCTCTGATATCTAGTGTTGCTCACAAATTTATGATGACAAAACCTTATCAAAATGTTGTACATTTGCTGTTATGTTAAATTTATATTAAAGTTTTTCTTCATTACCCAATCAAGCCATCTCCAAGCATTATTATGCTTTATCTAGGTTGCAACAGGGTCTGTAGAAATTGGGTGTTCCATAAGACCACTTAGAGGCAGGCTGGGAGGTATTACTGTACTAAGCTGGACACCACTTATGGACTATCAGGGGATCCTTCCAATCATTGGATTGAATAAATCATTATAGGTTTGATTTTAAAAATTTACACTGTGTCCAGAGCATTGTTCCTCAGAGCTCCCCAATGCACGTTACCCCCTCTTTTCCTACTAATGGAGCTAGAGAGTTCTTACCACACCCGATTTCCAGTTGCTGGGGTGGTTTAAAGAGGCTATTCCTCCAGAGTGTTTAAGTAACTTTCCTCCACTCTTCAAAAAGACGGTGAAGTTGGGGCCCTCCTACACAGGTCCTTGGATGTTTTTTCCAGATGTCGGTAGGAGAGGCACCAGCCTACATGGGAGTCTACTTGTAAAACTGGTTCAGATTTGATGCTTAGCTATCTGGTTGGGTTGAGTGTGGTCCTTGTTTTGGATCAATATTAGTTCTGTACATTGTTAATGGAAGAGGGTCCATTGTCTCCTTGTAATTCTGAATGCAGAGTGGTCCCATCCCGGGTCCTTGGTTGAGCACAGTTTTTTTCCATGTCCGTCCCATAATTGCGGTGGCAAGTGGAATTTATCTAGGGAAGTGAGGATGAGTGTTTATAATTCCAGAATGGATGAGTTCTGTTTCTTCAGGTTGAGAATGGTATACAGGATCTCATCATTCCTGGGTTTGGGGTGTTACCTTTCAGACTTCTTCAGGTTGAGGAGAGGGTTTGTCCACTTTGGTGTTGCTTACCTACTCAACTTCTCACAAATATATATATATATATATA